ACTATAGTTTTCCTCCCTCCCCTCTCCCAACCTCTCCCCTCCCTGAAATCTATCCCATCAACCTCTCTTCTCCTCCATATCCATCCTTCCTCCATCTCTCCTCAGAAAAGAACAAACTTCCAAGGGATATCAACCAAACATTGCATAATGTGCTAAAATAAGACCAGGCAAATACCATCATATCAAGGCTGGATAAGGCAACCCAGTAGGAGGTAAAGGGTACCACAAGTAGGAAAAAAAAGTCAGTAACTACCCCTGCTCCCACTCTTAGGAATCCTAAAAGCAACAAGATAGTTATATATAATATATATGCAGAGGGCCTCCGTTAGTCCCCTACAGGCTAACTGATCTCTGTAAGTGTCCCATGAGTCCCAGTCAATTGATTCTGTTGGCCATGTGTGTTCTCATGGTGTCCCTGAACACTCAGGTTTCTCCAAACTTACCTCCCTTTCCTCCACAGGACTCTCTGAACTCTGTATAATTTTTGACAGTGGGACTCTGCATCTGCCTCCATGGTCAGCTTGATGAAGTCTTTCTAGTGTCTTTGATGAGGATTCTGCTTGACTCCAGTTCCAGAATACTCTGCAGCCATGGCAAACTCTGGATCAAAGGATTTGTGGATGAGTTGATGTCCCGTCACTCCATTTGAGGCCTTGCCTGGTTACAAAAGATGACTGGTTTATGCCTCATGTACCCCGTTACTAGGAGTCATTGTTAGGGTTATTGTAGATTTTATGGAGTTTACATTGCATGAGTTTTCCACCTTACCCATGAAATTTCCCCCAGTTCTGTTTATTTGTCCCAATATTTTCTCCATCTCCCCAAGTTGAGCCCTCCTCTTCCTAACCCCCAACAGCAGGCCTCCCACCAAATCTATTCTATTTCCTCTTCCTAGGCATAATCTTGCTTCTACCTAAGGCCCTTCTTGTTACTTGGCCTCTCTGAGTCTGTGGGTTGTAGCATGATTATATTTTCCTTTGAAATTAATATTCACTTATAAGTGAGTACATACCATGCTTGTCTTTCTGGCTCTGTAATATCTCACTCAGAATGATTTTTTATAGTTCCATTCATTTGCCTGGAAATTTCATGATATTATTTTTGTTTGCTTTTTTCTTTTTTTATTGCCTTATTGAGCTACACATTTTTTCCAAATCTAGCAAAAAAAAATCATATTGAGTGAGGTAAACCAGACCCAGAAAGACAGATATAATATGTACTCACTCATAAATGGCTTATACATAAAACAAAGAAAAAACAGCCTATAGTCTGCAACTCCAGAAAACCTAGACAACAATGAGGACCCTAAGAGAGA